CTTGAAAATGGGATAGTTGTCCTTAAAAGAGGCACCTTCATCACTCAAAAGAAGAAATCCAATGTAAAATCAGAATCAGAAGTATGTGAAGATAGGTTCTTACCTTAACCCCCAACAAATATGACAGAAGCTGAAATTTGAGTCTTTCCAGCTTCAAGGGAGGAATGAAAATGAAGCCCAAGTTTCAACCCTGAATCTAAGAATAAATTGCTAAAACCAACTCAGAATCAGAGTCATATTCCACAAGAACCAAACCAAAGGACTTATACATATCATGCCAAATTCTAAGGACATGTCATATGGATTATGTATCGGCTATATCAGCATCTGGCATAAGAAGAATGTGATGCCTACCTAAAGTACACCAGACAACATCATCATCACCCCATTAACCAAGGGAGAAACAGAGAAAAGAAACATATGCGTTTGCTTACTGAAAAAGAGAGAGACAATCAGACATGGATTCGCAAAAGGCTTGTGACACAAATTGTTATACAAGTATGTGAATCCAGCGTGAATTCCATCTGCGACTACATCATCCCTTTCATATTATATATAGCTGAAGTTAAGGCTTTACCACCCCCCACCCCCCTTTTTTTTCTCGTTTTTTGTTTTGTTTTGAGGTTTTAGTGCATCTTTAGCGGGATGATTTGAGACCACTGCACTGCGTAGCTCTCTTCATTGAAAGGTATGAGGATTCCATGAACTTTTGGGTTTTAAAATCTGTGCTTTCTGTTTCAGTCAGCAAAATTGACTGCCACAATAGTGGAGCTCAATAAGGCAAAAGAAGGATCAATGAGGTTCAATTCTGAGTTTTCGATAACGACAAGCCAATGATGAAAGGAGTTTCCTTTTTCAGTTCATGTCACTGTGGTGAAATCTGAAATTACAAAGAGTTTGTGAACCGTAAACTTTATTTCATGCACAGTGTGACCACGGGGTTGGAGGAGGTTGTACAATCGAGCTGTCTTTTGCCTTTGTGTCTCTTCTTTTTCTTGCATATAGATTAAACTTTCCTTGGCAATCATGCCAACTTAAGTAATTAAAAATAAAAATAAAAATAAAAATAAAAATGAAAATTCTAATTTTTCCATAATCTCCATTCAAATTAGCTAGATGTCTGTTATAAAACTAGAGGTGTAATTCTCAAAGTTACACAAATATCACTTGTGATTGAAGACTTAGTATACCAAATGTATAACACATAATCTTACTTGATGGATTCCTACATTTTACCAAGAAGATAAAACACAAGAGTATAAGTTTTTAAAATTTTAAATTTAAATTTCAAGGTAAGTGATTAGATAGATATATATATCACAATAAAATAAAATAAAAGTGAAAAAATATAGAAAATAAAGTATAGTTAGAAAACTTAAAATATAATTTTTTTAATAAGTTAGATTATTGAATTATATAACAGAGGATTTCTTTCCCAAATCTCTCATTATCTATTTAAAATTTTGAATTTGAAATCCTCAATATATAAAATTAAGTTCTTAACTAGTGGCATGCTTCCTAAGCAACACAATGTTCCATGATTAGCAAGAATTCAATCATGTTGGCCAAACCGAAAGGCAAGAATAATTCAATCACTAAGGAGATCAATCAAAAGGCGGACATCTAATTAATTCAATTCCAACCAGTGTACATCGATAATTTGGTGCTCCTCCTTCTGCCTTTGTCTCCATTTTTTCAAAAAAGTGATCAAAATTGAGGAGTATTGCCTTCGGCCTTGGAAGCAAAAAGCAGGTTGTGGCTTATGTGGTTTTTCTCATTGACAGAAAAATAGATATATAAATGAAGAAGAACTTGAACCAATGAAGGTTGAGGGTCAAAAATGCATTCCTCTCTACACACCACCAACCAACCCCTAAGCCTTTTTGTAGTGCAATCAAAGTGTGTTACTAACAAGAGATAAAAAGTGCGATCCTCATATTGCCTACTTTCCCACTCTATGACCTTTCCCTTTTATCCACTTAAGTTCTTTTTTACTAACTATATATATGAGTGAAGCGAGATAAAAAATAAAAGAAAATTATCTCATATTATATAATTAATATATAAAAAAAAAATTTTCAATGTACTAAACAAAATTTCATTTCTTTGTAAGATGTTATTATGACTTAGTTTGAAGTGCATTAAAAAACTGAAATTCAAATTTTGAGTATAGTGAAGAAAAATCATTCATGTAAGGGTATATGCCCATAAATCAAATTCTAATCGACAGCGTAGAAACAAACCAACGTGAATTTTCCTTCCCTTTTCACTTTCCCTCATAGGAAGCCAAACACATTTGGTATTGGGCTTAATGTGTTGGGCTTACTTTGCTAGAAAGGATGAAGTTGACATGATGTTTAGTTCCCATCAAATGTGGTCCTCATCAATTGCAAAATTTATACTCTAACATATATTCCTTTGATCGAGTCAATAAGACCTACTCAAAGCAAATGGGTGGAATAAAGCATCAAAGGGCACTCCACGTCCATAAAGAGAGTTTATCTCTCTCTTTCTTTGCTAAACAAAATAAAAAATCTATATATTTATTATATTTTAAATTTATATTCTTATAACTTATGGTTGAAAAATTCTTTATATAAAGATTATTAACAAGTTCAGTGAAGTGTATAAATACTATTGTTGAACTCATCTTAAATACTCAAATTTAAGTATTTATTAAACTCAAAATAGTTAAACTTAATTTACAAATATTAAGTGTCATTAGTTTTGCTCGCGAGCTAAATAAGCGCATATTTAAGTTTGGTCA